CATCACCTTTACCTCCTGACATGGTGAGGGAGGTCCAGGAGTGCAGTTCTGGCCTCTACGTTGGATTAAATGGCACCCTGAGCCCCGCTTCCATGGGATTTGGGAATAATTTAAGAGGCGGATTTTAACAGTCCTGGCTCCAAGGCGAGGAGTCATCGTCTATTTTTCCGGTCGCAAGCCACATGAAACAGAACGCATTAAAAAGTCATCAGTGGCTGCTGTGAAGGACCACTGCGTCCCACCCCGCCCAGCCAGTGCCGTGAGGTACCACCTTCTTAAAAAGGCTCCCTCTGTCCCTGGCACTGACTGAGCGCCTCTTTATAAATATTTGGAATAAATGAATAAACTGTTGAAATTCCCCAGAAGGGGAAGGAAACATTTCTGTGAGCTATGTGTGGCAAGCTTGAGTCATTGGGTAAAACTTCTCAGAGACCTGCGCATCTACAAACGGTCAGTAAATATCTAAATCAGGAAACCTCCTCAGAAAAATGGTAAGTGATTTATTTTATCAATAGATAGCACAGAACTGACATACAGAAAAGAAAATCTCTCAAAATATCAACCACTTTATCAAAAAATTAAAGCACAATAAAACGTGGAGGTCATGGACTCCAGTGAAAACCCTCCCATGAAACACAATAAAAGCATGGACATTAATTCTGATATTTACACTTGCAAAAAGGACCTGTAAGAAAGAAGAAGAAAAAAAAAAAAGTAAAATAAAATGAGACCAAGTAACCCGAACAATGGGAAAGTAACTCAACTCAACACAATATAAAATAAGTATGCTTCATCATCTGCTGCTTTCCATGGCCCAAAGCTCTATGAAATGCAGCACTTGCTTGGCTTGGATTTGGAAAAACACGGTGTGCCTAAACTATTATTTTTTTCAAACAGAGATATGCCTAGAAAAATACTCTAAAATTTCAGCAGTCCTGGGAACACATAGACCAAGAAAAAAGAAAATTGCACTAAGAGGAATCATCTTGCCAAGCAAAGACTGAGCGCAGGGCTTGCCTATTGTGTAATGCATGATTGAAGGCAACAGCACTTGCAGATATTTTAGGGAGCACCAGATCATAAACTTGGAGGAATTCCCAGAAAACAAGAAGCGATTGCATGAATACATTGCAGGACATTTTAGGGGTGCAGAAGGTGATGTCTGAGGAAGAACCTGCTGAAGGCTGCCACAACACGTGGCTGCTCCTTGTGAGTCTTCAGTAAGAAGCAGCAGAGTTGCGATGGGCTGTGCATCTGGAGTTCCACACCTGGAGTCATCACGTACACGGTGCCAGAGCTGCAGCAGCAGCCCTCGCTCACCGCAGGCCAAATCCACCATGGCTTCAGCAAGTCGTCACCCAGAAAAGTGCCAGCGAAAGTGGGACCGGGAGGAAATTGCTGGTGTCGCTGGGTGCTGGCCCCTGCCTGAGCAGCATCTACCTGGACACTCCCTGCCCTGCCTCCACCAACACAATGCAGGTTAGATTAAATATCCAGGCTTTGATTGAAGCCAAGCCTGCCCCAGCCCGGTGGCACACGGCAGTCCCACTCACAAGCGGTTTTTAGTCATTAGTAAACCAAGAAAGATGGAGATCAGGCAGGTTGCAGGCAGGTATACCTGCAGGGGGGCAGTTAGGGAGTTTTCCAAGCTTAAGGACATTGGAGCGTGGCATAAATTGTGTCCCTGCTCCTTCCCCGGCTGCTTTTGAGGATCGGGCAGGGAAACCTCTCCCAGATGGGACTCAGACATTCCTCCCGGTTCTTCCCCATCTCCCTCACTTTCCTCCTCTGGCTGTGCTGAGCTGCTCGACTGGCAGCTTGGGGCATGCTGCCACATGGCTGCTCCCATGAAGGAAGGAGGAAAGGAGGAGCAGGTGATGGCCCTGGTGTCACACTGCTGGCATGGCTCAGCATGCAGGCACAAGAGCTGGTGCCATGGCAGGCAGCAGTGGTCTCCAAAACAGGATGAGGCCCCTGTGGCCAACAGGGCTGTGCTGGGATGTCTGCTCAGACCGACCCACGCAGGAGGCCAGCATCCACGCGTGGCCCCAAGCCACAGCAGGAGCTGCCTGGCCAGGCATTCAGGCTGAGTCTGGTTTACATCTGGGCTTTGGGGAAGGAATCTGAAAGCTCTCCTAAAGCACGTAAGCAGCAGCTATCGTTTGCCAACACCACAGAGATATTCAGTGGGACCATCAATAGCAAGTAACGTCTGTGAATCCCAACAAAGAGCCACAGGTCCTTGCGTCCTTCGCTTAAGGAAAAAAAGCAGAGCTGCATCGGAGGCCTCTTCTCCAAGCTCAGCCAAAAGTGGCCAATATCTTCAAGACTCTGTAGGGAGGGACAGATGGATGGACACACGCATAAACCATCTCTATAGGAAGGTACGGTCCTGCTCAAAGGGAAATCTGTTCTTCGTGCTCCAGTTGCAGCTGGGGATTACAGCAGTCTGGGGAAGCGCAGCATCCTCTTTCCCCTCCCACGTCAAACCTTGTGAAGCAGAAATGATTTTGTTGCCCCATGACACTCCCCATGCCCTTATGAAGGCCTGAGCAGAGCATGGTCCTCAAAACACTCAGCTTTTTTTTTTTTCCTTATTTTGCACAGTAGCTTACAAAGATCCACCAAGAAGAAAATCAGGATCATTAGATATTCAGGGGAGGCAGGATTAGGAAGAGAAGCCACCCATAAAACTGTGCCCCTTTTTAACTTCACACCTCTACTAGGAAAGCATCCAATTATTTCTTAAATTACCCCAACGTTTTTTGCCTCAGCCTCCTTGTCTGGTTAGCCATTTCACAGATTTATTATTCTTTGCATGAAATAATACTTCCTGACATCTGTTCCCTGTTTGTTTCTCTTTAATTTCCATTTATAGCACATTTTCCTATCCTCTGACCATGTTAAAATAAAACAATAAGTATGTTTGACATGGTGCAAGTTACTTAAGATCATGATCCTTCCCTGACCTTGACTTATTTCTTTTTTAAACACGCTTTAAAATGTAGAAAAACATTTTAATGAACTTTCATGAAAAGCGGAAAGCTCATGGAATCAGCAACCACTTAGCATTTCACACCCACGCTGCCAGCCAGTTACCCGGGGACCAGCATGAGGATCAGTTGGTGGTTACAGTCCAGTTTGATTCTGACAAGTATCAGCTGGAGGCAGATGGGGAAAGTGAGGAGCCGTGGGCTGCGCATTTCCTCCATGAGATGGAGGGGAGAACCAGGTGGCCATAAGAGACGAGGCAGCAGCGGGACAGGCATGGGAAAGGGAATGTTAATTCCCAATGCAGTGATACAAATTGGCTTGAGTGAAGCTTTCCCTTCTGACCAGGCAGATGGGAAAAGGTGCCCTTCCCTTGCTCTGAAGAGATTTTGCGTTCAAGTACAATCTGGCAACTCCACAAGCAATAAATTCACAAAGAGAAGCAATGAGGAGTACTTTAGTTATGGCACAAGAACATTTTATCTTGTCATCTCTCTCTCGCTACAAGCCCTCAGTATAATTTTAGCTCAGGAGGAGGGTGCTTATGAAGCTAAAATAAAATTGAAACGTAGCCTCTAACCAACTGTGTGCACACACCTTTCACTTAAGTAACAAAGCAAAACAGCGAGGTCATGTCATCTCCAGCTGGTCCGTCACCATTTTATGGACTATCAGGCAGTTGTCCAGTAGGGACCATCATGCTCGTACAGGCAGCAACCTGCTCAGAACAGCCCCTCCAGGTCCTCCTGTGCTGGTAAGCTGCTAAGTGTGGTTACACATCTTGCTGCAACAAGGCCAACAAGGCTGCACTCCTGAACAGAAACATCTGAAACTGAAAACATTTCTGCTCAGTCCTCTTTAATCGGAAGGGCGGTGCTTATGCTGCAGTTTGCCGTTATGGCAGAGAGATACAGGTGCCTGCAACACTCAAGAGCCACAACAACCTGGGTAGTTCAGGTCTTGGTGCCCCCTATGTTCCCCATCTGCCTCTGGAAGCTTTCTTCAAACACCTGTTTCATCGATAGGGCTTTAACCTGCCAGGTTGCCAAGGGCATCTTCCTTTTACCCGAAGTCCAAGCTGAACATGCACACACTAGAAACCCTGGGTTTAACCTGGGACTTTTTGAAGTCAAGACAAACAGGACCAAAAGCAGCCAAGTTAAACCGCGCCCTGACAAAGCACCGTCCTCTCAAACACACTGTGCAGCTCAGTGCCAGGGCTGCACTGCTACAGCTCGAGAGACGGAAGGCTGATGAAGGTGGACAGTCTTCAGGGAAGCAGGTCAGAAGTGGCTCTGACGGCTTGCCAGCAGGTTGCTGGATCAGGTGCTCAGCACACACAGGAGGGCTGCTCCTTTTGGGAAACCAGTGCCTCCCACTGCCCAAGAGAGGCTCCCCTGACTGTCCCCTGGCTCCCCACAGTGTTGGGTAGGTGTGACTGACCAGGCCAGCAAGATTGGCCACTTCACATCCTTGGGAACCATTTAATCCTCAGCAGCACACAGGCTCACAATTACAGAAATGTATGTTTGTGTCTCTGCTCCCTGAACTTGCTGCACTTCATCTGCTCTCCCGAGCTTTAAGCTCTAAGCAGGCAGAGTTCATACACATGCATTTGTCCTACATAGCCCATGGTTTGGAAGGATAAACATGAGTCACTCCTAGTCTGCCTGTTTCTTCTGCTCATTTCTCCCCTGCCGCAACTGGCCAATTTACCTTTGCTGTTCATCCAGCCCGGTATTTACAGCATCTGGAAGACTCAAAAGCTGACTGAGGGGGAAAAAGGAGAGAAGCTATGCTACACTTGGAAGGCCTGATTATGCAAAGCTTTATGCAAACAACACTGCTGCTGCCTTGGAGAATGGGCCTGGAGTAGGGGCTGGAGAAAACTTCAAAGTGTGACCTAGCCCATATTTGGTTGTGAATGCATTGTGCACCTATAATCGGGATTTAACAATCATTCCCTATTTTAGGTGCAGAAACAAAGCGCCGAGGGTAATTTGCTTTCTGAGTTGCAATCTCTTTATTTGGTTAAGTGGTCTGAGTCAACGAAGTCATGCTCTCCTCTATTTCCGAGAGTTTCTTCAGCATCTGGCTCACCTTGGCCTCATCAAACTCCAGACAGAGAAACTCAGATTCCTACAAAACAAAATCGCAAGAACAATAGTTTGAGAAAGATAATGGGTTTTAAAGCATACTATGGAGACAGGATAGCAAGTTCTGGTTTTCTGACAATTTGTGTCCCTTGTCTCCTTTTTTCCTGGTGCCACTTAAATAATAGCCTCAGTAGACCCAGAGATTGGCTACCCACCTAGCAAGCGAGAGCAGTACATGCTGGCAGGCCAGCCAGCAGCTGCCAAAGAGGACAAGAAGGCTGAGCTCTGCCTACCTTTTATTTCAATGTAGGCATCTGTTTGGGTCTCTCCTTGGCTGCCGACTTCCGCAAAACTTGTAGAAATTTAATTATACCTGAGACTTCTACTTTCCTTTCGAACCTGTTGATGCCCAAAGCTGTTGCTGCAGACACCAGGAACCGCAAAGTGGCTGGAGCCACCACACAAAGCTCATCCCATACAAACCCCAGACTTGATACATAGGAAAACGAGAATCCAGAACACAGTCTTGTACAGGACACTCAGTCTGGAAATTCAGGAGCGTTTTATATTCTTTCACACATGGGCTCTAGTGTCAATTTAAACTTAGAAGCAAGTTAAGAAGCAGCACTGATTTGCTCTGAAATGTCCTATCACATCTTAAAAAATAGCTACTCTCTGATAAGATGGATACTGGGATACAGCAAAAGGATCTTGTCAAAGGCCCAGAAAATAAAGAAAATGTATTAAAAAATAATGAATATATATGTGTGTGTGTATATATATAAAAGTTCAAATTATATGGAACTCATTAATAAACATGAATGTGAAAAGGCCTCCTGAGATCTCCAGCCCATTAGCCTTACCTACTGCCATGTCTATAGTTACAAAGTACTTCCCACAGTGAGTCTGGCAGAAGAAATGTTTGAGATTGCCAGGAGTGTGACCGTGTACTAAAGGTTGTTCCAGGTGAAGCACCACTGGTGACAGAGAAACAAATTGAAAATCTTTGAAGATGAAAGTGCAGCCAGCATGGAGGGAGGTTTCCTCATGAGACACTGGAATAGTTTCAGCAATCAGAATCACTGTATATCCACTGAATTTCTACATGTAACACAGACTCCGGGGTGCTTATAAAAGCAGAACGGCATCTCCAGGTCCCATCTGTTTTCTACCAGACTAAAGTTTTATCATTATGTCAAAATATACTTTTTCAATACAATTAGCTTCTAACCCAAACACTGCAACTTCATCCTTTACATTTATGGAATTAAAACATGACAATAAAATCATCAGACAAATTAAACCCATCCACTTTTACTAACCACATTTGAGAACTGTTACCGGCGTTTTCCCCCAGGCATCAGGAATAGCTTTACCTTTTACCTTCTCTGTTCTCCCAAGGATTCATGGATTGTTCCATTTTTCACAGGAACCAAACCAGCAAGTGAAATACAAACCAAAATGTTCACGCAAGAAGCAAGGGGATCATTTTGTGTGCAATTATCATAAAAGGCCCTGCCAGAAGAATGCTAATGGGAAAGAAATGAGGTGCTATAAGTCAGTGATCAGGAAGCCAAGCATGTTGAAGTGCATGAAACAGTCGTGCCAAGGCTTCTGTCCAGACATCAGTCACACGGGGAACTACCATGGTTCAAGACAGAAATCAAAATGGTGATTTAAACCTTAAAACTTGGATCTTTCTAAGAAGGAAGACCTCATACAATGAGGGTGGTGTGCACTTTAAACTTTTTTTTTGTCTTCAGATATTGCTGCCTCTCCCTTAATGCTGGTACTCAGGCGCTGGTAAGTCACTTACTGTAGCTACGCTGGATGGAGTCGGTCTTCGTGAAATGTGCATTATCTTATCTGCTAATAAACAAATCAGCCAACAGGCCGAGGTGCAGAGATCAAGTTATGTATTTAGTATGCAGGTGCTTCTGATTAGAAAAGGTTTCATAGAATTAAGGAGAACTTTGATTGAACGATGTATCAGTGAAGTTCAGTAATAGTGATGTAACTAAATATATACCACGTGGGATATACAGATGACTATTAGGAAAGGCCTTTGCCTGAGCATGCAATTATGCTCATAAACAGCATCCTATTGGAAACTATCACTGTAGGTTGCGGTTTGTTTTTTTTAAATTAATCGTTCATCTCTATAAAGTTACTTAGTACATTCCAAAACATCACAAAAGTAGCATTAAACATTCAGGATCAACAACAACACAGATATGAAATCTAAGACTTGGAAGCAAGGGCTTTCTCGCACCATTTTTCTTGTCCTTGGCAATGGTTATTATGGAAAACACCTTGTATAAACTATCTTTGAAAGCATAATTACAGCAAAGCATAATTACAGCTGGTCACTGTGCAGCAAGAAAATGTTTGGTGAGGAATTTGACAGCTTAATTCCATTTGGCAGTGGGCTTTCTTGTATTCTCCTGTCTGATTAGGAGCATGCTGAAAAAAAATATAGGTTGGATCTGCCTGAAGAAGCTGTGTTTGCAGGAGATTGCATAAGAAAGCCTGAACGAAACTCTGAAATTTCTCTCTATACATTCCTTGATTAGGAAGCACTTGAAAACTCAAATCTCAAGCAATTCATTAGTTAACCCCTGAGGCTTTGTGAAGCATCGGGCTGAAACCAGATCTCACCCCCTTGCTGGAATAAACCATTCTCCACTAAAATGAGCAGAAACGGGCAGCATCAGCCCAACTGGTGCAACTGCTGCAAATCAGTACTGCAAAGCCAGTGCCTCTTCAGCTCTCCCTGCTAAATCCCCCCCAGTTTTAGCATCCTTGTTTTCCCAGACCTGGCCGGGAAAAAGTTCTGACACCGCTTTCACAGAAGAGCTATTGCAGAAGCAGAAGCTTTTCTTACCAACCTAAAATCATCCCCATTACCTGTAACATGTTACAAGTCTTGTTTCACAGACAACATCTGAAAACAGCTCTTCTCTCTGTAACGTGACCTCTCATTCCTCAACTCACGGGCCACGGCCACAGGCTGATTTCTACCTTCACCTTTTAGGGAACGAGTCGCAGTGCCACCCTATGCAGCCCTGGGTCACAGTCCGACAGGACAAACTCCGAGACCAAACTCCTGTTGACATCTGTGGCTTTCCAACCACAGCTGCGTGCCCCAAGTCACGTGAGCCCATTGACAGACTTCCCCAGGCCAGGGTGTGCCCATGCAGCCCTTAAGCTCTGCATAAGCTGATTTTATGGCTTAATCATATGGTGAGTGGGAGCGGACAGAAGACCGAAGCTCCCAGCTCTGGTGGAGATGCTTTTGCATGAGCCTAATGCACAAGGAGGCTTTCTTTTTTCCCTCTTCAGGTATTGTCAGTTAAAAGGAATGTAAATTGAGCAAAAGGACACTCCTGGGTTACACCAAGCCTCTTCATGACACTTTATAGAAGTGTAAATGTACTCATAAAGCATACTTTTATCTATAAAGCAGCTAAAAACTTCCTATGCGGATTGGATGGTATCTAAATAGCACACTCTCATGTGGACCAACCTAAACGTGACCGAAAGGGCTGTAAATCAGGCTGCTCAGAACTGGGCTTTAGTTTTATTTAATGCTTTGTTAGCTTATACCCTCCACAAACTTCCACAGAAGGAGAAAAAAGGAAGAAAAAAGAAGACAGAGCTGTGAAATTAAAACTTCCCATCGTTCCCCTAAGGTGTCCTCCAGAAGCAGGACAAATTTGGTGTCTCTGCTCCTTCTCAGCAAGAAACAAGACATCCCTTTTGATATTTCCTGTTGTTATAGAAATTTTCAGCCCACTTGGATCCCTTGTAGTTAAGCAAAACCAAGATGGAACAAGTCATTCATTGCCTCGAAGTCCTGAAGCACGGCACGCTTGCTGACCAGACTGAAATGAGGACTTTAGACAAGCCCTTCATGGAGATGGACATGGTCTTTGCAAAAAGGCACGTGTATGTGCACAAGCAGGGCCGTCAGAGCATGTCTGTGTGAGATGGAAATGGCACATGCATCCCCAACTTCAGGTTGGAAAGCCAAGCTGGATGCTCTTAGAAAGGTGTGGGAAAGGACATCCATGTCCTGCGACCACCTTGGTTTTGTCCTCACATGCTTTCCCACCCCTCCTCCCATTTCCCTCCTGAGCCTGGGCTATAAAAAGGAGCTGCAAAACAAACATCCAAGAAACACAAACTCCCCCCAGCCATGAATTAGGTCTTCTAGGTTGTTTGGGGGTTTTTTCAGGAACAAGAGAGCGCTGCAAAAATATTTATATGAGCGACAAAGAGAAGCACAACTTTCTGTATCTTAGTAACTACACTTAAAAGACCAGCTATTTTTAGAAAACCAATTTTCACACATTCAAACTTAAAAAAAAAAAACTTTACAATTGTTCTCTGTTGCATCAGTTTGACCAGCCACTTGAAGTGGTTCCCAGCAACTTTGATACATCCAGTATTTTTAAGTTCTAGCCACTATAATGGAAAACCAAAAATAAACCCCTCTCAGTTCACATATCATTTTACTCATTTCATTTCCACTTGATTCAGAGACCTCCTAAAACACTCAGCATTCAGGGAACTTGGTCGCTGCCAGGACTGCAACGTAAGCTGGCAGTGTATTTGCTTTGGATCTTGGTGTCTTGACTAAGGCTCATTCCATGGGCCATGTTGATGGCTTGGGGCATTTCCAACACCTAAGTAAAGGAAGTGAGATTTGTTACCAAATGGTGATCACGAGGGAGACGCTGGTATGGGTGCCATGCCTCACAGGCCTAAGGACAGTGAAGGTTGCTACGAGCAAATATTTGCCTCCCCAGGTGGAAACACCTTGGACAAAGTTTAGAGAGAGGCAAGGAGAACTCCCTGCCAAGGGGTAGGAAGCAAAAATGGCTCAGCAAGTGAACAAAGATGCCATCGTGCTGACAACAGCCTTCACAACCCAAGTGGGTTCAGAGGACCAAGGACTTTCTTCCATTAATCACAGAAGTACTGCCAAGCAGACAGCTGGCCAGCTACCAGGAGAGCAGGTCTCCGTGGTTCAGCGGAGTT